TTATTTATTTATTTATTTATATATTTGTGTTGATAAGCCTGAGTGGTCTGTTGACTGACCTTTGTATTTGTTCAAATAATTGTTATGGGCAGGTTACAATATAAAAATGTTTGTCATAATCATGTCTTTTGATTATTTGACAGGAGTTTTACTTTTAAACTGTAAGTTTATTTTATTTAGTTATGTTAGTTATGATAGTTTAGTTATGATGTAAATACAATAAATTTAAACCAAGATTTATAATAATTATCATTTTGATCCATACATTGGTAATGTCTGACTGGGCCTCGTGACACTTTATGTTCAATAAATTGGGCCCCGAGGTCAAAAAGGTTAAGAAGCCCTGCTCTAAACTATCCATTTAAGATTATATCTTGAATAATCATCCAGTCAGTTCTTAAAGTTTGTGGACGTAACACGAGATGGAGTGTTTATGCTTCTGATGTGGTGCGAGTTCAGCATGGATGTGTGCCTGTGGTTCTGTCTTTTTGAACATTTAAATACACTCCCAGAAGAGTTTGTTTGTTGATTAGTCTTGTTGGGAGGAAACAAAAATTGAATGTGACTGACGATAATCTGCAGTACGTTTTCGATGTGTTGAGAACAGTACAAGTAAATGATTGTGTTCAGGACTCTGCTGATGCCACACATGGGTCCAGTTGTATAAAGAAGAACATGCAGGTTCACTGACAACCATCATTACCAGTAAAACTCCATTATTTCTATTGTTGCTGCCGCCGAAGTCATTTCAGTTGTGTCGAAGCTAACAGTACATGGCTATTCCACATTAAAATAAAATCTAGTTTCAAGCATACTACTGGAGTGGCCATTATTAAGTTCACTCTCTTTCCTCATTTTAGGGATCATTGAGGCTCGGAACAACCGGGGAGGTCTCCTCAACTTAAAGTTTGGTCAAAGATGCGTTCACTGGTGTTTGTATCGTGGCTCAGTCAGACGCAGATCGTTTTATGACTCAAAAGGCCCACGTCGCATTGAACCAAAACAATCATCAGCCTGAAGTCATCAGTTTAAGCTGCTCAGAAAAGCCAAAGCAAACTGGAGCTGATGGGACGGGTAAAGTGGTTCAATCCTAGCTTATGGACAAATGTTTTTCTCCTCATGCCCCCAACAACACTGTGAGGGGGGTGGGGGTGGGGTTTGAAGTGCTCCTGTGGTTATTCTTCTGTGCTCCTCAGTACATGTCTCTGTAAATCTCCTGCAGCAGTGGGTGCAGCGAGGTGTCCTCTGTTTTTTTGATCTCCTGCACCAGCTGTGCATGCTCAGTAACCAGCTGCCGAAGGTCCGCCAGCTTCTGCAGCAGCTTGGGAAAGAGGAAAGTGTTGTCCGGGTGATTGGCCAGCAGGTGGCACTGTAGGACATGCACAATGCTCTCCTGCATGGCCTCGATATGCAGGACGTTCACCAGGCCCGGTCGGTCTGAGGGGAAAAAAAAAAGAGGGATGACTGAGAAGCTGTAATCAAAAAGTCATGTGTATTTGCCAAAACGTGCAAAGCGACAGTTTTCCTTGGCTCCTCACCTCCACAGCAGATGATAGCAGCAACAAACAGAGCCAGGTCGCTGTCATCCAGCTCCAGAGCGTTAAACTTCATGGCAAACTGAAACTTGGGCTCCATCATGTCACTGAAGGGCCGCCGCAGGCTCTTGAGGAACTCCCTGGTGATGAAGCCCGAGCCGTACGCTACAAGGAGCCCGTCCTTGTTCATGCAGGAGGCCAGCATGGCGAACAGCGCCTCGTACACGCCGTACTTCAGAAGAGTCACCTGGTCGTTCAGGTCCAGGTTTGAGAAGCCCGGCACGGACTTGGCGAACTCGGTGAGCTCCGTGACGGTTTCCACAGACGTGCACTGGCAGCAGTGGAAAATGCGGACTTCCGCCTCCCTGTCCTTGAGAACTCCCGCAGAGCCCACCATCTTGGCCACCAGGGTCTGCTCTGCCAGGTGGAGCGTCTCCATGTCGTGGATAACAAAAGGCTGCAGGTAGAGGGGATGGAAAGTTCTGAGTCAAGACACGTCTTTGCATAAATACCTGACTGTTTATATGTAACCTTCAATAAGTGAAAAACCCACATTTACACAAGACAGTTCCCCTCCTGGTCTTTGCTGTTATTCTTTAAGTCAGGGCTATTCAACTAAACTGCTCCGGGGGCCACAGTTACTGTAGGCCAACAGCTGAGGGGCCGAACATCCAGCAATTAAAGTTATTATGTAAATAAACCAAGTATTACAAAGATCTGTTACCACTGAAATAGTTTATTTTGCTGTATTTAATCATAAACACAACATACAGAACCCTATAAAATTAGTGATAATTAAACAGTATCCACATCATGCCTCCTGTTTGACATAAATATTATTTTGACATCTCTGACTTGCCAAATTTTTAAACCAATTTTATTTTTACTTTCATAATTTTATATTCAATTGCTTGTAGTTTTAACTGTCTTGAGTGTTTATAGAAATGGTTTTTACCAGCTTGTAGCCAAGATTCTGACGTTTCTGTAGATACCAAACATGTCCATGTTTAACTAAAAGAACTCAGAGTAATTAAAGTAGAAAACCAGGGGTTTGGGCTGAAGAGATGAATGAACCAACTGGCGGGCCGAACTCTGGTCAAGCGCGGGCCGGATGTGGCCCGCGGGCCGCCAATTGAATAGCCCTGCTATAATTGTTTCATTTCTCTCAAAACAATCCAAAAAGGCTTCAAGTGAAAACAAATACAGCTTTAAACACTCAATGCTGAAACCACAACTCACTTTTCAAAACCAATTCTTGAAATAAGAAAAAAYTGAGTCAAATCAAGTATTTCAAGAATCTTACCAAGTAAAATTTTCTTACTCCACTGGCAGAAATTTTTGACTTAATTTGAGTCAAATTTTCAGACTAACAAGACAAATAATCTTACACATTCTGAAAACAAGATGATTATTCTTACACAATCAGTTCTTGTTTAGTAAATCAGTCTGAAAACAAAAAGAAAAAAAATTGTGTAGGTCCTCTGGACGGGTTCTTCTCTAATGAAACGTTTCGTCTCTCTTCCAAGAGAC